TCCTACCCCCTTCCCACCCCCGCCCTCGCCCCTCCAGGAAGATGCGGAGATGCCAAACTCCGGCTGTACAACGGCTACACCACGACCATGTCCGTACATACACGTGAGTGGTGTGGCCGACACAGCTCCTACAGCACCCAGGCGCTCAAGTACGTCAGCAATAACAACAAGGTCATCCTTCGCTTCTTCCCCGGCCACAGCAACCTCAGGGGGCACAGGGGCTTCAAGCTCTTGTGGATGGCTGTCACTTTGCCGGAGACCACGGGTAAGTGGTTTTTTTTTTCTATTTTAGACCACCAAGAGATCTTAAAAGTGCGCAACTTGCACACGTGACCTCCGAGATTTTTCGCCCTTCTCCGAGAAAGCTAGGTGTAGATCTTTCCTACCAGAAAATCAGGGGTGTGGCGGAAAGAGAGCACTTAAAAGGAGCCAAGGAGTAGCAGTTAAGTAGAAAAGCTGCAGAAAGAGTCAGGAGCCCAGAGACCACAGGTAAGTGGGCTTTTTTACACCTCTATCAACATAATTTGGAACACTTTAAGCTCTTGTGGATGGTCGTCACTTTACCTGAGTCCACGGGTAGATATCTTAGTGTCTTGCGGCTCTATCTTCATAAATATTAGAACATTCGGAGACACAGGGGATTCAAGCTCTTGTGGATGACTGTCACTTTGCCGGAGACCACAGGTAAGTGGGATGTTTTACGCCTTTATCAACATAATTTAGAATTTAATTAGAAAATTAGGATACACAACAACAACAACAACAACAACAACAACAACAACAACAACAACAACAACAACAACAACAACTTGTGGATGGCCGTCACTTTGTCGGAGGCCACAGGTAAGTTGGATGTTTTACGCCTCTTTCAGCATAATTTAGAACATTAGAGGACACAGAGGATTCAAGCTCTAGTTGATGGCCGTCACTTTACGTAATATTTGTCGTTTTTAGTGAAAAGAAGGACATCGAAACAATAGCAGGCATTTAGTGCGGTGAACTATTAATTATTATCAAAACATGTAGTCAGACAGACAGACAGACAGAAACGACAGAGGAAAAAACAGCAGAGTTCTATTGACCTCACTGCTAAGAAAGCCATACTATAAGTTATTATAAACGTAAGTGTGCACAATTACACCAGATGCAAAAAAAAAAAAACGACAAAGAGAAAAAAAGGGGGGGGGAATGCAATATCTAAAGAAACCTTCAGCAAGATGAAACCTATATGAAACCTATCCCCTCAAATAGAAACTTAACAGAAAACACAAAAATTAAGACCCCTGAAAGTGTACATATGGTCAATGCATTTGTATTGGTGCGAGAGCTGGACTCTAAACAGAGACACAGAAAGAAGACTGGAGGCCGCTGAAATGAGGTATTTAAGGAGAAAGCTCAGAATCTCATGGACAGAGAGGAAAACAAACAGAGAAGTACTCCAAATGGCAAGATGAGAAAGATCCATAATCAGAGCCATCAGTTCCCACTTCCCTTTCCCCACGTCCATTTTCCTCACCTCTAATTTCCCACTTCTATTTTCCCACTTCTATTTCCCCACTTCTATTTTCCCACTTCTGTTTCCCCGCGTCCATTTTCTCACCTCTATAACCCCACTTCTATTCCCTTCTCCACCTCTATTTCCCCACTTTCATTAATTCCCACTTCCCTTTCCCCACGTCTATTTCCCCACCTCTATTTCCCCACTTCTATTTTCCCACTTCCATTTTACCACTTCCCCTTCCCCATGTCCATTTTCCTCACCTCTATTTCCCCACCTCTATTTCCCCACTTCTATTTCCCCACTTCTATTTCCCCACTTCTATTTTACCACTTCCCTTTCCTCACGTCCATTTTCCTCACCTCTATTTCCCCACTTCTATTTCCCTTCGATCTCCACCTCTATTTCCCCACTTCTATTTCCCTTCGATCTCCACCTCTATTTCCCCACTTCTATTTCCCCGCTTCCCTTTCCCCACTTCTATTTTGTTTGTTTTTTAATAAGAGTTTTACGGCACCTGCAACACAATAGGGTCATTTAAGAGAGTAACAAACACAAAAAGAAGGAGGAGAGATAGATTTGTGATAGGAAAGAAGAAGCAAACCCCACCAGAGCACCCGCTAACCTCCTGCTTCTCCCCCTCTCTTCCCGTCAGAGCCCTGTGCAGGATTCCGCTGCAAGGGAGGCCGCCACTGCCACAATGGCGCTGAGTGTACCCCGCTCAAACAGTACTGTATCTCCAAGTCCCTGGTCTGTGACGGGGTCAGAAACTGTGGGCCTTTTGATGACAGTGACGAGAGGAAATGTAAGTGGGTTTTCTCCTATGGTCTTTCTTTTTTTTTGGGGGGGG